ATTTTATCATTTACAGCTAATGCAGGATAGGGATATTATTAACGATGAAATTCCTTTGGATCCTAACAAAGTGTGTTAGTTTTGAGTATGGAGTGGTGGGACCTGGGGTGAAGTCATAGAATGAAATAGAAGGCTCAATGTCCTGGTGGTGGTCCAAAGGATCAGAGATGACAAGCTTTGGCATTGGTTCCCATTCCATTATGTATCATTCAAATATCTCATTCTTTCTTTCACTTAATTTATCCTTTCTTATTCGATTCTTCCAACTAAACTCGTGACTCTTTGCAAGATTGGTGACGTACATTTGATCGCGATGCTCACCCAATTGTAGGTTTGACCTTCTTCTCATTTCATTTGTTCAAGTCTTCAAGATCACACAACAATCCACTAACTACCCCACTACCACACTACACACATTTTTTGTTTCTTTTGGGATATTGTTCCTAACCTTTCTACTAGAGAGACTTGTTTTATTTTTCTATTTTATTTTTTTGGTTACTTTCAACATCGGCATCATTTACGTATTCCATTAAAAGTTTGGATAAGATCATGTATTTCCTTTATTAATACTGTGCATATAAAAGATTTCATTGTGCAAATTGAGTGAATCGATATTTGTATCATTAAGATTGACTCCATGATAGTTTCCTTATTAGGATTTTTGTCAAAAGAAAAAATAAAAGTACGAACTTAACTTCCTCGGACAGTGGATGGTTATTGGTTCAGCACAAAAATGCCATTTACGGAATTCTGTAAAAGGGATCGTTTGAGCTTCGGATTTGGGCTTCTCTGATAAAACAAAACTAGTTTTGACTCGGTCAATTGTTCTATGCCTTGGGCTCTCAAAGAAGGCCTTTAATAGTAACAAAATTGAGAATTGACATTCGCACACCCCAAACCATTTATTGTTTGAGTACAAATTGAGATTCACTCTTAAACCAACATATTTGTAAAAAATTTAATTGGGATGTGTCAAACAAAATTTTAATCTCGAAGTTATGGTTTGAGTAAAAGTGAAAAGAACTTACTTTTAAGCTTAGTTAGAAACTATACCCAAAATTATAAATTATTTTTTCAAATAAAGATATCAAGTATGAATTACTTTACTACAAACTCATTTTTTTTAGGGAAATGCTTTTCATCTGTTGCAGCAGGGGAGAAGCTATGCATTCCTACTGAGACATTAACAAGTGGGGGCCATCATTTAAAATAAAAAAAATTAAAAAGAAAAGCTAGTGCAAAATCCTATGTATGTGTAGGAAGGAGGAATAGTGTTGCTGCAACAGAAGAAAACAAAATCCATTTTTTTTATCATACTTTAATTTCCGAAATCAAATTGATCGAAAACCTATTCCAAACTATAGTCTTTTTTTTTGGGTAGAGGATGGGAATAGGAGATGGCATCATCTTAGGGATTAAGGAAAAGAATGCAAATGTCCCATGAAAAATCAAACTCATCTTCTATTTTTACGAGACAAAATAACATGTCAACCAAGTAAACGCCTTGTCCGTAAATTACAGGCCAAACACAAACTTATAATTGATGGGACTTTGGATAAATGTACTGGACTCAACCATTTCAATTTTAAAAGTGTACTTTCAAAATTGTTTTTGTTATTCGTAAGTATTAATATTTAACCTCTCGTTCCTTATTGGGCCTAAGACTAATGGATTTCCTGTATATGACTGTAAAGGGTCCATGACCATGTAATGTGGTAGTGTGTAATCCGGCTGCATCTGCTGTGTGTATTTCCATGTGTAGATTTCAAAGGGTGGCTAGGCTTTGTCCCGTTTCTCTTGGAAGAGTGACCATTTTATCACACTTGGCAACAAAATTTATCAGACTATCACGCCAACAGTAAATTTTGCCAAAATATCACGCTGCACCATTAGCCGTCGTTGAAGAAATCTGAAAATATAACTAATTCGCATTATCTTATCTTAACTCTTAATTATTTTCAGACTTCTTCAACGACGGCTAAGGGTGCAGCGTGGCATATGGCAAAATTTATTGTTGGCGTGGCAGTCTGATAATTTTTTTTGTGAAGTGTGGTAAAATAGTCACTCTTCTGTTTCTCTTTGTCTTAGCACCTAAATTCGTCTCAACGTTGACACTAAAATGTCACTTGGATAGATATCATTCTCTTTACTACGGGGGGCGTTTGGTTCGGGAGAAATTTTTTGAATACTGGGAAAATGTAATTACTAGGGAAGTGGTAGAAAAATGAGTTTGATAAAAAAGTTAAAAAAAGTTATTTGGTAGGTCAAAATTTTACCGAGAATATTGACACAATTTTAGCATCAACTTTTTCATTTACCCTGCAAAATCACAATACCACCCGCTGGGTGGGATTTTTCTTTGAGAATTTGGTTTAAAATTACACACAAAAAATTTCCCCAGCATTTTTTTTAAGTGCTACCAAATATGGTATTATTGAATGTCCACCCTCACTTCCCCATGCATCCTACAAAAATCCTCCAACCAAATACCACGTAGAGCTACAATCTCAGGATTAAAACTCGGAGGTGACAAGACATGGTGATATGTTGACCTATAAAAACAAAATGAAAACCAAATAGATATGAGGGGTGTCAATATAGGTCATGACACATGGGTCGACCCGCGACACGATACGAAAATTTGTGTTTAGGTTGACCCGTAAAAAAAATCGTGTCGTGTTTGTGTTGGAGAAAATGACACGTAAAAAATTCGTGTTGTGTTCGTGTTGATGTATTCGTGTTCGTGTTGACTCTTATTTTTTTATTTTTTTTTATTTTTGACCCATTTTCTTTAAATTTTTTTTGTCAATTACCGTTTTGACCCCTATTTTTTGTGTTATTCGTGTCCTGTCAACCCGCACAAAATTTGTGTCGTGTTAGTATTGAAGATTTTGACATGGATAAAAATTTGTACCATATCTGTGTTAATATATTTGTATCGTGTCAAATTCATATCATGTCAAATACGTGTCGTGTCAATCTGTTTTGGCACTCCTATACGACCAAAGAATAAAAGCCTATATATAGAAAAACAGGACAGTAACTGTTGTGGATAAATTCTTGAATAGACATTGTACCTAATCCTCTCTAGTGATCTCAACTTTTGCGTGTGTACGGGGCGGGGTGGATGATGGAACGTGAGACCTAAAAAGGAACGAGCAGGTTGATCCTTATCTAAATCCACAAATTAAGGACACGTATGTGTAGCATTTATTAAAAGTGCTGTGAAATTGGCAAATGAAGGTTGTAGTATTGTGAAGTCCATCAGCATGTGGGTGAAAACTGAAAAGAACATATGGTAAGTCAGATCTCATGTTTTTTAAAGAAAGAAGATGAGTAGCCGAATGGTTCTACTCTTATTGGTTACGTTTTGGTCTTCACTTTCTTGGTAAGACTCCTCATAGCTGTGGTGTGGGTACGCTTTTGTTACACGATCTTTCTGGTGTATACCGCATGAAAACAATAGCTGTGATGTGACGACTTTTTTGGGGCAAAAACACCCAAAAAAATATATATATTATGTCTCCTCTCTTTTTTTTCGCTTTATTTGTTGTATAGGTATTGTCAATTAAAAGAGAATATTTTTTTTCCTTTTTTCAAAATTTATACAATTTCTTATTTCTGAGATAAAAAAGAGAAAGAACGCGTGAAAAGAATTACAATATTTATTAGAAGATATAATTTGTATTTTTTTTTTTCAGGAATGTCCTCATTTGTTTGGATATAATTAATCTCTTTCTGACGTGAAGTATGAAGATTTTTGTCGTTTATCCCAAAATAATTCATTTACAAATAAACCAAAAACCTTTTAACCTTGAGGTGCACTCTTTGTCTAGAACCCGACCAATTGCGCCACCTTTTGAGACTAAGTTTTACTCTTTAAGTCTTAAGTGGTCCACCTCCCTCAAATTTGGATTAGTTGAGGTCGGAAAGTGATTTCTATATATTAGGGAATTGATACAAAAAATAAAAAAAATCTTAAGTAATATACTCTTATATAATAGAATAAACTCCTTACTCTTAAGAACAGCACAATCACTTATTAGATGCTCTTTTCTCTTAAAGTCTCGTGGCACAGTTGATTAGCGCCATTTCAAAAAAAATTGAATTAATAATTACTTTTAAATTTTTATCTGCATGTTAAAATTTCTTTTTTTTTTTTAATTTTAGTTATTTATACTCTCAAAATAATAAGTATTAAATTTTATTTTATTTTTGCATTATTTTGTCTCCTAAAATTTCATGAGCTGCTTATAGCATCAAATTAACTCATTTCAATTTTTTTCATTAGAATTAATTATTTATCTTCTAGATCTCAACTACTACATTCATAATATTTATTAAATTAGAATGCACTATGAGCGGTTAATATTTTAATCTACCATTTTATTTCAAATTACTTTTTTTAAAAATTGATTATGCATATTTTTAATTTTATTTTTTTAATTTATATTTTTACTATTTTAACTGAACTAATTATATATAGCTTCCTTATAATTTTTAACATTTTTATCTAAATTTAAAATATTGTACAATACATAGTGTGCTTGCCAATAATTTTTTTTCTTTGGAAATTGATTGTCAATAATCTTTAAAACATTATAATCTTCTCGACCAAAACAAAAGCAAATGATTCTTAAAATAAAAAATAAAAAAAATGCAAGTGCATCTTACGAGCGTACCGGGAAACGAATGAATGAGAGGAGCAGTCTTAGCCCTTATGACCTGAATTATTCTATAAATTTATTTTTATATAATTGTAACACTGATGATTGAATATACAACCTCGTACAAAATTTCTAAATCACTCAACCAATCCTAATAATGGTTTTATAATTTTTCAAAAGTATATGTAATATTATTTTCATGAAAACAAATTGGGCTCTTCCCGTACTTTATTTTTTACAGACGTCGAGAATTGATTTGTGATTAAAATACTTAAAATAAATGTGTTACTTTACGTGAAAACAATGGGGTTGGTTGATTTAAATGTAAAAAACACATAGATTAAATAATTGATTAGAATAAAGAGACAACTCAAAAAGATTATATAACGTAATAACGACACCCCAATATCTATAAAAGGTTACACAACAGTGCCAATTATCACTCACACTCGATCCTTTCCACCCTTTCTCCTATTCTCTTTTTGTTTAAACTAAAAATTTGGTAAAAAAAAGAGAGAGTTAAAAGGGTTTGTCTACTAATGAGAATGATTTTATTTTATTTTAATACACTTTAAAAGTCTACGAATTCAGAAAGCCAACACTGTATAATTAAAAAAAAAAAAAAAAAAAAAAAAAAAAAAAGCGCAAAAGAGTTAATGGGCTAATTAAGTTTCAACCCCCGTTCACAGTTGTTTCATGCAAAATCTCCATTTCTCCGACGTCATCGCCTTCTGTACATCCTCCATGCACACATCGCCGCCGCAAAGCACCATTCTTGTGCCGTCGTTGACAGCCGCGTTCCGCACATTTCTCCACTCACACAAACCACCATCCACAACCTCGCACACCACCATCTCCTCCGGTTCCGACGTGTTCCGCACGTAAACAAAATCCCCAACCCAAGTCATCTCAACCGAACCTAATTCCGAACCACTCTTTACCTTCTCCAACATCTCCTTCGGCATCTCACCAAGTTCCTCCATTCCCGAACCCAATTCACCCTTCACCACCCACAACTTCACCCCTTTCATGTTCTCCGCTTCCCCCACCAGCCCCGCCACCACCAAACGCTTCCCCAGAGTTCCGGTGATGCAGCAGTAAACGCTCTGATCAGGACGCAGATCGAACGGCCCCTTCCACTTCCTCGCAATGGGATCGAACGAGTACGTCAAGCCGGAGTTTTTCTCCGTCACGTGCATAGCGTCTCCGACGACGGCCACCGACAGCCACGTCGACGCCGTGGACCCCTTCAGCAGCGCCGGCATCGACTGGCACGTCACCCAAGCGCTGCTCTCTGTGTCATACATCTCCACCGCGAGCGGGTCGTCCTCGAATTCGCACGCGCCACCGGCGACAACCACGCGCTGACCCACTCGCGCCACTATCGGGTCCGTGCGCCAGACGCGCGGGGGAGGCACGTGGTGCCACGCGAGATTGAGTTTGCCGTCGGAGAAAGCGAACTCGCCTGGGGAGAGCGTGTAGAGCAGCGTGGAGTGGGATGATCGAACGGCGGAGGCGTGACGCTTGTTGTTGATGGACGGCTCGTGTTGAATCTGCAGCCACACGTGGGAGCGAGGGTCGTACGCGTGCAAGGTTGTCACGTGGGAGGCGCGGGTGCTCTGAGTGAGAACCATAAGCCACGGCTTGATGGGTCTGACGTGGGTCAGGGAGGAGGACACAGCACGGTTCCAGGCCTTTGACACGTGAGAGGCGGGTGCGAGGTGGATGAGTGGCACGTGGGAGAATATGGCCTCTAAGACATCCCCGTGAATGGGTGCTTCCTCAGCTTCTCTTTCTTGTGCCATTGGGACAAGAATGTAGCTGCGTTGCGTGCGTGTCTTTCAGTGGCTTCTGTGTTTATTTGTACTACAATGAGAGAGGGAAAGAGTGTACTTGAGTGGTTTATATAGAGTGTGGGAAAAGAGTAATGAAAAGGAGAGATACGACGTTCCCCAATCGGTGTGTGCCACCTCATTAATGTCAGAATATGAATTGGTGACGGATTGGAACTTCTACCTAATATCAATTTCGTGTTAATCTGTGTTAATCTGTTAACCCTCATAGCTCATGCATCCAATTTGCGGATTCCTTCCATCTTTAATTTGTCTCACTGAAATCAATCCCAATACTGTGTACTAGTTGGTTGAACCATGAAATGGATTATTATAAGCAATTTTTCAAAAATGTTATTATAAAACATAAAAAACAAGCCTAGACAAAAGAACTATTATTTTATTTTTTTAAATCTATAACCTCGACATACAAGGAAATGTGCAATATATACCCCAGTTGTAAGAGGATATACTTTATGAATAATAATTAAATTGTGCTTGTTTTTAGTATGTGATTCTAGTTGCAATGGCCAAAAGGCACCCTTTCCAGAATGGTAACTTGTTTTGATGCATGATGGTGATATCTGGCGTGTGCAAAAAAATTGGTTCACTTGTACCGCTCTTGATCTCACTTTGACTTGATCTATAAATATCTATTTTATTTTTTAACTGGTTTAAATACTGATCCAATTTTATTTGGGTCAGTTTTAGACCTGACTTGTTTTAATAATGATGCATTGACCTAAAACTTGATTCATACCCATTATGTGAAAAAAGAAAAAAAAATAATTACATTAAAAGAAAAGTTTTAACATAAAACAATTACGTCAAAATTTTTAAGGAAAATATTTTCATTAAAAAATTTGGACAAAAATATTTTTATCAAAATTTGTGACTAAAAACAATTCTGTAAAAATATTAGACGGAAAAAAAAAATTTCAAATTTTTTTACGGAATTTAAATTTCGTCAAAATATTTCACAAAAAAAAAATATTCATCAAAAATTTCAACGAAACACATTTCCATCAAAAAATTTTGACGGAAAAAAATTTCATCAAAATTCTTTACAGAATTCAAATTTCGGCGAATGTTTTCGACGGAAACATTTTCGTCAAAATTTTTAGCGAAACACATTTTTATCGAAAATTTTCGTCAAATTTTTTACGGAACACATTTTTGTCAAAAATTTTCGTAAAATTTTTTGACAAAAAATATTTCGATAAAAAAATTTTAACGGAAAAAATATTCTGTCAAAATTATTTAGCAAATCTAAATTTCGTCGAAAGTTTCGAATGAAACATTTTCCTCAAAACAATTTATGTCAGAACACATTCCCATCGAAATTTTGAACGAAAAATATTCCGTCAAATTTTTTGTCGGAATTCTTTTTTCGTTTAAAACACTTGATAGAGGAAATCATTTTCGTCAAAACTTTTGACGGAAACTAAATTTCGACAAAAATTTTATTTTGTAAAAATTTTCATTAGAGAAAAAATTTCGTCGCTTTTCGACAAAAAGTATTCCGACGAAATTTTTGTCGTTTGCAACGTAGAAATTTCGACGAAATTTTGTGACGAAACCAAGTCAAAAACGGGATAGGTCAGATTTGACTCACTTCAGAAATCAAGTCAGACCCACTTCAGAAACCAAGTCAGGTCGTATCCGACTCGATTCTGAACTAGTTCAAAAAAATTCAAACCAAATCAGACCTGACTTAGATTAAATTAAAGCAAATCGGATCAAAATACCTAACCTATAAAAACCAAGTTAGGTCGAGTCGACACAAAAACCTAACCCATGCACACGCTACTAATATCGTCCTCGTACAGTTGGTCAATAGTTTTGAAATAAACATGAAATTGTCAAATTATTAGGCATTAACTCATTAACATATTCTTAAAAAAAAGAAAAAACTTCTTTTATACGTCAAGAGCTGTTATCATAACTTAGACTTTATTTTTACTCTAAATTTTAATATTAAAATTACACTTAATTATTTGGTAGCACTAGGATGCTGATAGTAGAATTTTGGTGATAGGGCCCATAATTATGTGGCACTGATAGTGATGGTAATCATCAACAAAAAAAGTGATTATAGTTGGAAGTATTTATCAACCGATTTAAATTGGATTGATTGAAAAATTGATAATCGAAAATTGAAGAAAATTTGCATATTTTAATTGGAATAAATCGATTTTTGATTTGGTTAGTGAAAATTGATTCAATCTAAACTAAATAAAATTAAATTAAATTTGAAAAAGCCAAACTGAATTAATTATTAAATCAAAGAGATTGAATTGGATATTTTTACTTCAAAATCGATCCAATTCAAATTGTGAATATCCGTAATTTATAGTGGTGTGTTGTTGCCACTTGCTAGGATGACGAGGAAGGGAGATACGGTGGTCATTTTTTATAATTTCAAATAAATATAAAATGTATTAATAGTAATTGTTAATGTGTGATTTCCGACTACAGGATGGTATAGAATCATCATTTGTTTCGTTCAACAAAAAAACACTATTTTATAGTGAAAACTAAAGTCTCTTTTATGTATATATCATGAGAAAAGTATGTATCATTTTAAGGATGTAAAATTATGTTATTTTAAGTGAGAAAAAAAGATAGATAAAGAAGGAAAGAGAGTGAACAAAAAATTATAAAGATGTGGGTCCCACCTCTTTGTGAAAATGAAAGGATATAAGTTGTGTCATTTAAAAAGACAAACATTTTTCCCATATATTATTAATAAATAATATGAAAGAGACATCAACTATTAAGATTGGATATAACTTATAAGTTTTATCAATTTTACATTAGCATAAGATAATCCTCCTCATGCATAGCATATTTAATTCACACACATACGAGTAGCGGAATCGAGCTCAAATTTGAGTTCGGACCAAAAAAAATTCACGTGTATTTATTTCCCTTAACTTTAGTTAGTTCATATCTTAATATATTTAAATTGGGGAATGATCCATTTATAAAAAAAAATCGCAAATTTTTGCAAATTATACTACATACTCCCGAAAGTATATAGTGTTATCTAGTGTACTTCCGGGAGTACATAGTACATTTTGTAAGAGTTTATAAATAAAAAATTTGTAAATATAACACTCCATATTTAAATTATATTAAATATATAGCACCTGAGCAGGCAGTACTAAGAAGAACTATAATTTTATTAAATTTTTTTATACAAGTAAAAATTGAACACATAACATAATATAACTTACCCAAATCTCTTACCAAAAATATTTTAAGTTTTAGACAGGGCCAAAATACAAATTGTAGCCCGGGCCAAATTATAATTTTAACTCGGGAAAAATTATAATTAATTATATAATTACATATAATAAGTATAATTTGTTAAAATTTAGCACGGGCCGAAGGCCACACCCAAGATGTACCTAGCTCTGCCACTGACACACACAGACATATATATATATATATATATATATATATATATATATATATCTTTATAAATAAAAATAGTTAGTTCATTTTTCTTTAAATTTATCTAATTATCTTATTCATTTGTTTTAGTCATAATTTTTTGTTTTAAAAAAGTTTTTAAAAATAAATAATTAAATTGACCCTTAGTTAACATATATAAAAGAAGAGAAAAGTAATTCACCTGTCACTGGAGATAAAATTATCTCCGGTGAGTCCAAAATGATATCGTTTTGAGTTGTAAGATTAAAAAATTATAATGATAAAGACTGATATAATCCTACAATTAATTAAAAATACATTAAAATCTTGATTTTCACTACAAAATGACATCATTTCGGACTGGACTAACCGGAGAAAATTTATCTCTATTAACTGGGGAAATACTTTCCCCACAAAATAAGATGTTAGCCCCATAACCAAGAAACTAAACCACTTCAAGTAAATGCTATAAGAATGTGCCTGTGAGAGAGTAAAAGAGACCAGTCATACTGTAGTTTGGTTGTTGAACCGCAAAGTTATGCATACTAATTTCTTACTAACACGCAACACTAAACACGAAATATTAAACATAATAAATAAACGGAAGTCCCCGGGCACCAATTTGTTAAACTTCAATGTTTTTAACTTCATAGTAAATTAAATCAGAATAGCGTTACTTGTTTTGTATTCTTAAATTCATGAAATGCTTCAGTTCACTAGGCTTAGAAACGGGGCAAGTGTAAAATCGATGATTATGGGACTGGCTATGGATTTCTTAAATGAAAGTGCCTGTTTGGGAACCAATTAGGAAAATAACAAATGATTTAAAAAAGCATTATATAATTTATACCAAGCTGTTTTCTTTTTATTATATGTCAACAATATTCAAAATGAATCGACCTAAGCTATTGTTAAGAGCACATCACTTTTTATAATGCTCAGAATCATTGTGGGTGACCACACTTGATATGTTTATATTGGCTAGCAGACTTTTCTTGTCCATTACTTTGAAGCTTCTAACCTAAACACATAAACAAGTATTTCTGTAAGAGTCCCTGTTACTGAAAACGTTCAAGTGATTTAAATTGTTTAACCAAGACAAAAGGCCGTTCCCTTCTTGCAATATTAGAGGCTAGTACACAAAAGGAATGATTTAGGCTAATGATTTGCCGGTCTTTTGACCCTTGCAATGAAAAACCCAAAACATATTATCCGTTTTATTTTTTTTTAATAAATTATTTATCAATTTAATACAAGTGAAATGCGCACAGAAAATGTGCCCCTTTAAGTTGCGCACAACCTCTCTGGAATTTGTGCAAAAATTAATATAATGCAAGACTCACATCTTATCATCAATATGCGTTCAAATCATACACATACATCTTGCAAAATGCAACACGTGATATGTGTGTTTTGATTTTTATACAAGTTAGGCATGAGATGATACGCGACTTTAATACCCACACTCCCCTTGATTGTTTCACTCACATTAGACTAATAAATAATTTATCAAAAAAATTAAATAGGTGATATGTCCTGAATTTTGCGTCACAAGGATAAAAAACCAATGATTTGCTTATAAGATCT